GTTGGTGCCGAACGGCTCACGATTTCCCCGATTCTCGTGACAGTATAGCAGCGGGCAGCAGTGCCACTTCTGCTCAAGAAATGCGGCGTGCCCACCCTACTTGGTATGGCACCGAAAAAAGTATTTTTCGGGATTCTGAAGACCCTCGGCCCCAGCACCAAACTGTCCTCCCATACTACTAAACATTTAAAATTCTTACATGAAAATGAGATATTCTTTCTCATACCTGCGGCTCTTAACAGCGCTGGAGTGGTCCAGACGACAAAGGAAGGTACAACACGGTTGGACTCGGCGACGATACCTGAGGAAAAGGCTATGAACACAGTATATCGTATTGAGTAACCTTTCACAAACGCTCTCAAAATAGTAATCACTCCTATCGCGTACGGAACAAGCGCCTAGGCGCTTCCAAAGCTACTATCATCCAGCTCATGGTGATCACTATCTTTAAAACACGGTAAATCTAAAAAAAAAACTACAGAATGTAAGTTGTAAACTTTTTATCATTAGTGATTATTTTTACTATCGTAGGAGAGAGGAAATAGCTCTAAGGAAGTCTTAGAAATTTGAAAGAGGCAGTGATGCCAATCGAGATTCTATAGTTCAGTATTGGAAGGGGAACCTCAAGAGTGGGTCAGGAAAACTAGTTTTCCCAAAGTTTCTTTCACTTGAAAATCGGCCTACCCCTCAGCTCTACATTTGCCATAGCCCCGGCAACCTATTTTCGAAAGTTGAAGGCGATAATTCAAACAGAATCGTATCCCGAGTTTGAAAGGCAACAAAGTGGGCAATCTGAGGGCGTTACCTGATAATGTTTTAGCTATCGCTCAGATGAAAAAATAAAAGTCTAAAAAATCGAAGAAATAAAAAAAAACAGGAAAGGAACGCGAAGGCCTTCCGCACGGCTACGGGTGGTATAATCAATTGGCCTTCACCTCCCTTTCCCGCCTTCAGTGACATCGATCAACAGGGTCGTATTCCCCGGTACTGCCTGCAGATCAACAACTTACCTGGAAAAATAGCTCGGTTACTCTACACAGGCGCTGTCATCTCAACTGTGCAATAATCTCAGGTAATCCTGGATACGTATATAGGAATATCAGTAATCCTGGAACGTACTAATACCTGAGCTTACCTCGTCCGTCGTCCACCGGTGTGTAGGGTTTTTTCTGGAATGATCAACTGGGACCGGTACAGTAACAGGTCGATAAAAGTCCGAAGTCCAACTGCCCATAGCCTCCGCCACATCGATTTTATTAGATTCACCCAAGGCATACACCAGTAGTCAGAAAAATGAACTTTGTTTCTATGAATCCGCTCGAAATGCGCCAGCATACAAGCATTCTGAGTTGCGCCATGTCCTTGCTCGAAGGAGCAGATCGTTAAGCAAAGCACCCATCAACGCTAGCGGTGCATTGTGAGGGAAACGCATGGACAAAGCGCACTTTCCGGGTGATGCCAACATGCAAATGTTGACGACAGCCCGTTGTGCGTGTAAACTCGGCATTTCTTGCTTGTTTTTCTTCAGGATCGTACCCTTTTGATAAATCCTCAACTGTAATGATCCACTATTTCCCGGTTAGGATAATGCATACAGACGGTTCGGAACACGAAATCTGCCGAGTAAATTAAACAGCAAGCCTGGTCCGTACGAAAGTCTGACACACATGCGCGTCCACGGTGCCATGTGTTTCGAAGCGCAGTGCGCTTCCTTCGGATTCATTGCCGTCATCAATTGGCGGAAGAGAACTTCTGCACATATTCAAAAGAACCGCGAAGAAACTTGTATGCTGCCATCTCTGAATTAGAGGTGAAGTTAAAACTAGAATCAGCTACAGACGCAAAGAAGGGATTATAGTCCAAACGCGAGTACTTTACCGCAGCCTCAGATTTTGCTGGATTCTACGAAGGAATCTTAAATACCCTTAGGCCCCTAGCCTCATGAGCATAGCAAAAAGAACGGAACATAAGCGTTAGTTTCGATAATACTAATCCTACACACAAGACAAAATGATCACTCTTTCCGTGGAAGATTCCTTGGCACTATTCAACTATTACGACCCCAAAAACTCAAAATTTTATTTTTCGTCGAAACTTCGCCTATAGGGGTTATTTGAGGTCCTGATCACGAAAATGAGGTTCATTTTGGCGTTGGCGCCATTTGGCGCCATTTGGCGCCAAGGGTGTTTTCACCAAATTCGCTGTAAACTTGCACATAGGGGTTATTTAGGGCCCTGATTACGGATATGTCATTCGTTTTTAGCATTTCCACCGTTCAACGCACATTTTCCATTCTCCTGGGTCCTCTCACTTGTACATAATACCTAGGACTGAGCCTAGAAGGAGGGAGGACTCCGGGGTGGGTGAACCAGTCAACATGTGGCAAACGTTAAAGCGTATAAGATCACAGGATAAGTGTTATTCACTTCGGAGCACTCTCCTCCTCAAAGGCTTAGTCCCGATCGCGAGGTGATCAGTGAGAGGGCGCAGACGAGCGGAAAACAGGCGCACACAGGCGCTAAAAGGAAAAATGAATGTTATATTCGTGATCAGGACCCCAAATAACCCCTATGTGCAAGTTTACAGCGAATTTGGTGAAAACACCCTTGGCGCCAAATGGCGCCAGCGCCAAAAATGAACCTCATTTTCGTGATCAGGGCACCGAATTACCCCTATAGGCGAAGTTTCGACGAAAAATAAAATTTTGAGTTTTTGGGGTCGTAATAGTTGAATAGTGCCGATTCTTTACGGTATCATTTCTTCGGTAATGGGGGCGAGCTTTTTCCGTGGAAGATTTCTTTAAATACGACCCACACCACCTTCCGAGCCACATATGCATATGCAGAGGGAGCCACATAAGTGACTAGCCCTGTCGTTACTGTATTACACACAATGATGCATGAATTTATTGAGTATTACATATAAGGTTATCTAATTATAACCAGTAACCACGTCTTTCGTACAACACAACCTGTTTAAGTACTTCATAAAATACGGAAATGTCATACACAATTTGAAACTTCCAACTTGAAACGCGCTGAATAAAAACTGATTTTAGCTGAACCAATACTTGCGCTTAAAACCAAACTTGTTGAATGGCGAGTGCACATGTCTTTAAGAGCATATATTTACCGGGACAAAAATAAGTTATTGCAATGCCAGAGGACGCATAACGTATTAATACAGATATGATACTGATACACACCTTGTACAGACCACGAAAAGCTATGCTTAAATCTCTTGGATAAATAAAGGCACGTCAATTGGAGAATCCAGCTTAATAAACAAAAAATGGCTATTTTCACGAGAGCAGCCAGCTGCAAGTCGCCGAGCACAGGATTAGGGTGACAGATAACAACTATGTAATGTCTATTACATCAAAAGAAGGACCGAAATAGACGAGAAGAAAAACAAACAAAATCACTCTACACACCAGGGAATGTCAAACACGTCTATGATGAAAATCACTGTATAAACATTTGATTAGCAACAACTAACAAATAAATATGAGATAATATGAATAGAATGAAAGAGTACATGGCAGTTTTCTAGCGATTGTTGCTCATCACGGGGCCTGTACTTCTGCGGCACCCGACCGCTGACGTTCCTGCGCTTGCCGCACTGAGTCGACAAAGTCAATCACCTGAATCACTTGTAATTAGCTTAATTAATTTCCGTGGAATCTAACCAGGAAGGTCTTTTTTTTCCTGTTTTTCCTTTTTTCGTTCAGGGCGTGCCAAGTTTTAAAAAACGGTCTTTTGATATATAAGGCATCATTGCGGGGATCAACAGTACCTTGGGCCGTACTGATATACCAAAAAAGTAGGTACCTGGTTCGATTCCTTGCGGTGACAAATTTTTGTATTTCGAGTTTCATTTCCAAATTTGCCCAAAATGGAGTTAGCATAAACAATGAGTACCATATTCATAATTAGGACCATCATAACCTTATGGATAAATTTTCATTGAAAAACTAGTGAAAAAGTTGTGACACCAAATTGAGGCCGTTTTTGTCTCACAACTTGTTCACCAGTTTTTTCATCAGTCTATTTTCAATCAAAGTTTATTGCTGAGGAGTACTGGCGGTCTTAATTATGAATATGGTAATCATTGTTCATGCTGATTCTTTTTGCGCAAATTCTGAAGCGTCAACTTGAAATACAAAAGTTTGTCACCACGAGGAATCGAACCAGGGTATGGTATTTAGAGGGCCGTTCAGGAAAAATCAACTGGGATTCTGTGGTTCCCGCATGTGCCACTATATCATGCAAAAGGCCGTTTTGAAAAAGCTTGCATGCGCTGTAGTTGCCATTCCAGGGGCGGTATTCAATCCTTCCCCCAGGGGGATATATCCCCCTCCTCTGATTCAATCCTCTGGGGGGACAAAAAAGGGTTGCGTCATAGGACCTAGCATACCTCTGTGTTTCTACCTGCCAGACAGTTAGAGCAGCGCTACTACCCTCCACTGATGAAGCACTCTTTCCCTGAGGGGTCGCGCTGCTCTAACTGTCTGGCAGGTAGAAACACAGAGGTATGCTAGGTCCTATGACGCAACCCTTTTTTGTCCCCCCAGAGGATTGAATCAGAGTAGGGGGATATATCCCCCTGGGGGAAGGATTGAATACCGCCCCTGGAAGGTACATTGGTAACTTGACATAGAGCCGCCCTCGTTGGATGCACAATGAATTCTCTCTATGAATTAACACGTTGACGACACGCCCTTGTGCGCGAACCTACCTCACCTTATTTTACAAAATTTGCATTAACAGTTACTACATTACCAATAATTTCATTAGTGGTAACGAGAGAACTATTTTTCGTATCCAACAGTAGGAAGGGCCAGTCTTGAAGCATGAAAATGGAGGCACAATTTAGGAAAAACAAGTCTCTTCCGTGTGAGAGTGCGGGACGTATGTGTCCCGCGCTGTCGTCAAAGTGTTAAAGACGGAAAAATGCAATCATACACAATCATACACTACGTTAAACAATTTACAAATAAGTAGGAAGGGAACCGACAAATGAAGCCTTTCTTTTCTGGTTGAAAAACTATAGCATTCAAAAATCACTAACCCACCGTAAAAAGGCTGGGATAAAGGCAAGTATAGCAAATACTCCTAATGTGAATGTGAAATTACAATATATATGCATGCGTACAAACATCGACTTCGGAACGAAATAATTATTTTTGAAGCGGAGCTAACCTAAATACGAAGAATAAGCGGCGGCAAAAGCTAGTTTTCTTAGGCAGCAACTTCGATTCACGATTGTATGCACCGTTGAGATAGATGTTTACAAAGAAACGTAATGATGCCACCTCCTCTCACAACCTGGTCATTACCGTAATCTACATCTCTACAACTACTACGGAGATAAATTTGTAGGAAAACAGAATTATAGATAAGAGCATGCAAAAAGTGTAAAGCCCATAAAAAGCAGAATCACCTTTCAACAATAAAACAAATCTATCCACTAACTGAAAAAACCTACTTTGAGCGCTGGTCCAAGTGCCAAACCCATATAATTCATAAGCAGTTCCGTCGTCAGCAATCCGAGGGAGCGTCCATCAATTTGCTAGAGAAGGTTTTTTCATTCAGAAATTCATCGAAACAGTGTAAAGGCATTTGAACCCAACGGTTCCGAATAACAAGTTCAGTCTAATACCTGTTCAACAAATTTGGAAACAATCGTCTCATCAAGTAGTTTGCTCAGCTCATTAGCCACTTTCTCAATTGACCACTGTTTCATCGGCGCGTAAAGAGCCATAACTGTATAGCATTACATTAGCGAATTATATGTATAACACAGAGAGGCACCAAAATTTTATTTCAAAAGAATTCCAAAAGTTCAGAAAGTTCAAAAATTCCAAAAACTCAAAAGTTTCAAAAGAGCAAAAAGCTATTTGAAAAAGAATCCTTTTGAAATCCTCCGCGATATTTCGGTGTTTAACACCTTCTTCAGGCCTGAAATACATTGATTATAGTAGATATAAATAATTTGGTGAATTACCATACCCATATTGATACCCACATGTGTTTGCCACTGCCAAGTGTAAAGCTGCCCTTACGGGAGCCGCATACGCACTTTCCTTTTTCGAATAGCTTTTTGCTCTTTTGAAACTTTTGAGTTTTTGGAATTTTTGAACTTTCTGAACTTTTGGAATTCTTTTGAAATAAAATTTTGGTGCCTCTCTGTGTTATACAATATTTAGGTGCTGATGAGGCTCCGGGACAGCACAATATTAAGAGAACTCGGCGGCGAGAAGGCAACAACTGAAATAGCATTACATAAGCCAAATACTTTTTACTGAACAGTGCTCAATCATTAACTGAGTAAATCTAGATATCAAGTTTATTAGAGCCGGTTTAGCTTAGGCTGAAGGAATTAGGATTATTCTTCTTCATAGAGGCCTTATGTCTACCTTTCTACATTCTCTCTAAAGACCAATAAGACCTTCTTTAACGTTCATAAGCCAGCTCTAACAACAGCCTCTAACAGAAGCCATAGCAAAGAAACCCGTGCTGTACATTGGTCACTGTCAAACCTTTAACAGCGTGCATTTAACAGGCCCTACGTATGAAGGTAAAACAGCTGCGAGAAATACCCGGGAAGTGCCCACTTACAGATTCCTTACTGACGGCAACTACAGTGCCTTAGTTCTATGATGCGTTTCAGTGTTGACAGAAATATATAATTATAAAACCAGTCGTAAAAATGGCTTGAACTGACAGTCAGCTGACCACAAATGCACGAAGCTGGTGCTGAAGAATATACTCAAAAACTTCTCAAAGAAAATGTAAAAATGAAACGTGACAAATGAATATGTGAATGAATTTCAACCAAACTCACTCTGTTCTACGCTCACGTCATTAGCAGGAGCACAACTAGCACATGGTTCGCCGGTGCTTGAATAGAAATTCTCACAGATTTTCAACTGAAAGACAACATAATGGGTAATTAAATATTATGCTCTTGATAAATTAACAACGAACTCAAAATGACAGTTGAAATCTAACCTTTCGTAAAAGCTGTTTCAGATAATTCCACGCATCCGCTGAGCTCTTCACACACGGAATGAAGCGTGATCGAGGAGTGCCGCCACAATGAGCTGAAAGAGCATTTACAAGCATTACGCAGACTATTGGAGTTACCCTCTCAAAACGAAAAGAAGCCAGCAAAAGTAAAATATGTAGTCATTGTAGTGAATAGCAAGCACTGCCAATACGTAATTATTCAGGAGAAAATATGAATTCATTTATGGTAATTATGATAGATATAAGTAATACCAAAGCCTACCAGTGACAGACAAGATCTGTGTGACAGCAGCTGGCTGTACAAGATTCAAGCGTTATGGCATCGTCCTTCGAGCAATTCAGTAGTTGTTGGACAGCTTCCCGAAGAGCGTGATGTGTAGCGAAAGGTCCGAATTTACGGCGAATTCCAGCGACCTTCAAGAATGTACGTTTAAAAAAGAAACCCTTCGATTAAGATAGCATCCG